CTCTCTCTCTCTCTCTCTCTCTCTCTCTCTCTCTCTCTCTCTCTCTCTCTCGCTCTGTCCGTATCTATGTATGTGTGCGAGTGGCATGAGCGTGCGTGTGCGTGAATGTGAGTGCGTAACCGTGATCAGGGCAATATCTTCGGCGAATATTTTAAATTCGCCCTTACCGTTCCTGTTTTAGTTGCTATGCACATCGATAGCCCCGCATTATTGCATCGTTGCCCTGGAATGCTTAATATCGTGCCTTGGGGCCCGGACAAAGCGCGTTATTACATGGCAAAGAGATGGTCAACTTATAACTCGGAACTCTTCATCTTCGCGCGACGGACGAGGGGCGCGTGCTGTATCCCGATATTTCGAAATTTCGCGTGTCCGACGCGGAGGAAGGCACCGCCGGAAACGCGATACATCCCGACTAGAAATTTATCCTGTGCTTTCCTAATCAGCTTGATCCCAATCATATATCCAATATTCATACATAAACGACATTTATAACTAAAACATATGGTTGAAGCCGAAAACAACCATAATTTCAGTTGTAACAATAATTTTTTTCTCTCAGTGTGATGTGTAATACACGTAAAAAACATGGTTGACCCATACATAAATCTGGTTGTGCTAATCAGATTCGATATTGAATACCAGGCTTTTTCTTTCGTGCACTGTAAAAACTGATGTGTTAAATTTAACACATTTCATGTGTTCCAAATCATCCACTCTCATTTATGTAAATTTAACACAAAACAAATGTGTTAAAAAGTAACACGCATAATATGGAAAAAATTAACACAAGAATTTATCACTTGAATACCGTTAGGAATCACAGGTTGTGTTAAATTGACATATTTAATATGTCAGACATAGATTATGTCAATTTAACATTTTCATTTCATCAAAACGTAGATTAATACTTCTCTCAAATGTTAAAGTAACGTTTTATTTTAGTATAATTCAACATTATACAAATATCAATTTAACACAAACTGTGATTCCTGACGATATTCAAGTGTTAAATTCTTGTGTTAATTTGTTACATATTATGCGTGTTACTTTTTACCACATTTGTTATGTGTTAAATTTATACATAAATGAGAGCGGATGATTTGAGACACATGAAATGTTAAATTTAACACATCAATTTTTACAGTGTGTATTTATTAACAAACTCCTGATTATTAAGATCGTAATTAATTCTTGTTATTAATAAGATTCTAATATCAAAAGGTTCTGATTTTTTCCATGTTGCACTACATAATTTATCGGGACTCAATATCACTTGAAGAAAATGTATAAATCACATAACTGATTGGAATCAAGCTGTTTAGGAGCATGGGATGAGTATCTAGTCGGGATATTCAAGTGTTAAATTCTTGTGTTAAATTCTTGTGTTAATTTTTTATATATTATGCGTGTTACTTTTTACTACATTTGTTATGTGTTAAATTTATACATAAATGAGAGCGAATGATTTGAGACACATGAAATGTTAAATTTAACACATCAATTTTTACAGTGTGTATTTATTAACAAGCTCCTGATTATTAAGATCCTAATCAATTCTTGTTATTAATAAGATTCTAATATCAAAAGGTTCTGATTTTTTCCATGTTGCACCACATAATTTATCGGGACTCAATATCACTTGAAGAAAATGTATAAATCACATAACTGATTGGAATCAAGCTGTTTAGGAGCATGGGATGAGTGTCTAGTCTGGATATTCAAGTGTTAAATTCTTGTGTTAATTTTTTATATATTATGCGTGTTACTTT